TTGGGATAGGTAGCATACATGTAAAAGAATTAAGTGAAGGATGCCAGAAAATCCCATTATTTGATAGCCAGAAACAGTAAGAATAGCCAGGAAAAAAAAAAACAAAAACTGAAAACCAAAAAACCAGTAACGGTGATGCTGCAGAGTGATCTCTGCATAGCTTAAGGACAGCAGCTAATCATGGAAGTGTCAAGTTGTCGGAGATAGTCATAAGGCCTGCTGAAGGAGCGCAAGGTAATTCACACAGAGACAGCAACAGATGCTTATCTTTAATATGGAGTCACAGGTACTACTGCTTAAGGATAAGAGCTCTGAATTCAGAAGGACTTTGACTGCAATTCCACTCTGTTATCTCAGGCAAGTTAGGCTTTCCAAGCTTCAGTTTTCAGACTATGACATGTATACAAGCTGGAAAACATTAATCTAAAAGTTCAAAATCCAAAATGTTCCAAGCTCTGAAATCTTTCATGAGTCAACATGAAGCTACATGGGGAAATTCCATACCTGACTTCCCATGACAGGAAATAAGTCAAAATGTAGGAGAGTTTGAGGCCAAGCCTGGGCAATACAGTAGGACCCCGCCTCGAAATGAACAAGGCAAAACTGCGGCACACTAAAAATATTATATAAAATCACTTTTCCGATTAACTGCACAAGGCATAGATGAAATATAAATGAGTTCACACTTTAACTTGGGTCCCAGCTCTAAGATGTGTCACGAACATAACATTCCAAAATCTTATTAAAAATAAAAAATTGGTATTCCATCTGTAACAGCACTTACTGCTTCACAGACGTGTGGTGAGGAATAAATGGGGTAACATACAGTATCTAGACTACTGCCTGGCACACAGGAGGTAGTTGAATACTGGCAGGAGTTATTAAAAAATCATTTTCATTGGGAAAGAAAAAACAAGTAATTGTAAACTACTGCCTGGAAGCAGTTCTGCTGCTGGAAACTGAAAGGCCAAGGGCTAAATACAGAGGACACAAAGTAATCATGCCTTTACATGAAATTATCATACATCGTAACCGGAACCACTGTGTGAAAGTACACAGCAATCTCAAGATGGGAATTAAAACATAACACAACAAAACAAATAGATCTTCCACTTGAGAATAAATGAAACTTAGGGCAGGAGGTATAGCTTAGTTCAAGAGAGCTTGCCTAAAGTGCACAAAACTCTGGATCTGATCCCCAGCACTGCATAACCCAGGCATGGATGCACATACCTGTAATCTCAGCATTTGGGAGATGGAGGCAGGAGGATCAGAAGTTTAAGGTCGTTCCTGGCTACAGATGACTCAGTCTCAAAATAAGTACATAAATGAAATAAATAAAGCTTAGGAAAGAACATGCTAAGAAAGTTAATACAAAAAACCTCTAGCATTTTTCAGAAAAACAGAAGACCTGGTCAGCAGATGAAGCCCTCAGAACATGTTAGTAGGTTAACCTCACAGGGAAGGAGAACTTATCCAGATGTTAACTGTTTCTTAATCCTAAGGTTTCCAACACGACTTACACTTAATACTGATATTTTAACTTATCAACAGATTTTTTAAAATATAAATACTGCAAAGCACTCTGTATTTAGCTAATTCTGGTGTTAAGATGGGATAGTGTTGAGGGAGTGATCTCATTTTGAGATACCCCTGGGAAATCTGCCTGGGCAAAGAAACCAAACTTTGAATCATTCAGCATCCCTATGGAGTTCAGCCTAAATGATCCTTAAAAAAAGCCCAGGGTGCCCTGTTTTCCTGTGAAAACTACAGTGACATGCAAAAATCAAATCAAGCTTCTGTGGTTACTTAACTTTTTCATCTTTGCAACTACAGTTACCTATCAAGATGTATGCCTAAAGAAAAGCAACTCAAACAGCAGCTAAATTGGGAGGCAGTTTTGCCTTACTGTATAGGTAACAATACGTAGTATTCACCTGTTTCTACACACTTACAGGAAGCTGCTAAGAAATGCTGTCTAATATTAAACAGCAAGTTTACCCAGATTCAGGTAAGGGAACTGCTGAAAGCTATGTTTACAGATCAAAAGACTGATAATACGGTTTTAGATGACAGAATCCACAGCCCACAAACCCTGAGTGCCTCAAGAAGACGTACTCAAGGAGATGAGAGGATTTAGGGATGCACCATCATGTTTCAAACATACCTACAGACAACTTATACCCCAATTCACTGACTCTGGGTTCAAGAAGTAGAATCCACATTTTTTTTTTGGGGGGGGTGTTTTTGAGACAGGGTCTCCCTTTAGCCCCAGCTGGCCTGGAACTCACTATGTAGACCAGGCTGACCTTGAACTCAGAGATCCAGAGATCTGCCTGCCTCTGCCTCCCAAGTGCTGGGATTAAAGGGGAATCCACAATTTTAAAGAATACTGTGTAATGAAAATATTGCTTGTGCCCAATTGTCACTGAATCCCTAGCCTGCTGCCATGGTCGCCTAGAAGCTAATGCTGATCTGGCACAGTGAGAGTGCCCAGAACCTGGAAAACTGCTTCAGCGGCTGGTATGATGCCCACCTGAGCCCAGCAGGCCACAAGGAGGCAAAGAACAGCTATGAGAGACTGGCTAGGTATCTGACATCTGCTTCACCTCAGTGCAAAAGAGAGCAATCTGGACCCTCTGGACAGTGCTAGATGCCACTGACCAGATGTGGCTGCCAGTAGTGAGGACCTGGTGCTTCAATGAGTGGCATTATGGGTGTCTGACTGGCCTCAATAAAGCAGAAACTGTTGCCAAGCATGGAGGTAAAGATCTTGAGGCGCTCCTGTGATGTCCCACCACCTCTCATGGAGCCGGATCATCACTTCCACAGCAACATTAGTAAAGATAACAGGTATGCAGACCTTGCTGAGGATCAGCTACCCTCCTGTGAGTCTGGAGGACACGAATGCAGAGCACTGCCCTTTTGGAATGAAGAAACTATCCCCCAGATCAAGGACGGAAAATGGGTCCTGATTGCTGCCCGTGGTAACAGCCTGTGGGGCATTGTCAAGCATCTGGAGGGTCTCGCTGAAGAGACCATCATGGAGCCAAACCTGCCAACTGGGATTCCCATAGTTTATGAAATGGACAAGAACCTGAAGCCCAATCAAGCCATGCAGTTCCTGGGAGACAAGGAGACTGTGTGTAAAACCATGGAAGCTGTGGCTGCTCAGGGCAAGGTCAAAAACTGAAGGTGAGCAGGCAGGACTACCACCCCAAGAAGCCCCGCCCCCACCCACTCATGCCTCTGCACCTTTCCCCAGCACTTGTCCCATTTTCATTTTAGTATTTTATCCCTGCATGACTCCCTTCATAGAACCTTGTCAGAATGGCACCTCTGGAGTGCAGGTTCTTGGTCCAAGCCCAGGAAAGGCACCTCTTGCCCAGGAGAGTTGATAGTTTTTCTTCATATTCTGTTTACTAAGGGACTGCTTGGGAAGAGGCCAGGGCAGAATCACACTCTTGTATAACCAATGAGGAGAAGCCAGAATCCAATTTTGTCCCTGGAGTCTGTTCTGTGTTATCTCCACTAGGGTAACTGGGGGCTGTAGTCATTCTAGTGGAAGCTGAATGTAACCTGCATGGGGCTAAAAAAGAAAAATTTTCTCCCTGACCTAGAGACACTGGCCCTGAAAGTTTGGGATCAATCAAGTTTATGCGTTACATACATACATATATATTTCACAATCACACAAAAACCTTCCTGAGATTTTCTAGTGGCTGTTCAAATAGTCCCACATGTGGTCACAGAAAATAAGCCATTCCTCACACCGAAATGGGATGAACCCCTTGTTCCTTGGCCTCAAAGTGGCAGGAGTGTCTGGTGCTGAGCATCTTAGGAACTTTCTGCCTTGATCCGTATAAGGGAGTGATGTGCAATTCAAAAACAACATAGCTTGTAAAACCACTATCAAGATGAAAAAAAAAATCAGAATATACAGGTAGTAGTCCAAAATTAAATATAAAAACGTTTGTTTACCAATTAGAATTTAAATGCTCCCTCCCATTTTTAAGAGTTAAAATGTAGCAGTTCTTTGGCAGGCCTATTTAAAAGCAGCTTAATGACAGGATTCATTCACACAAAAACGAGAACATGGTTTTGGATAACATGAAACAGCCTATCCCCCCCCCCCCCCTAACAGTATGGAAACCAAAATATCAAACTAGGCAGCACTCGCTAAGTCCTTCCACTTCTGTTCTAGGGATACACAGTGTAAAACCTTAAATACTTTGTATCACAGGGGGCACAGAGCCTAATGAAGAAGTAAATAATATTTTACAAGATCTCCATGACCCAAAGATTCAGATTCAGTTTGCTTAAGCTGAAAGCTTTATCTACAGCCACTGGCCAAAAACTCAGCTATACACTTAAGAAGGTGCAAAATAAACTTGTTCTTTACGCAACGCGGCTGGCTTAGATTTTCAAATCTAGATTTCCTGAGAAATACTTAGCATTAATAATAAAGTTGTTCTTTCGATTTTCTGGGACTACTTCGTATTACTATGAAAATACTAATATTAATACTTGGAATTAATATGGAAAGAACCACATACTGCAGGTCTTGTTGGTACCGAACAGTTCTGTGATTTGGCACCTCTTAACACTTTACCAGACCCTGCACCAGATGACTTCTTAAACGGCGTCTGAGGCATCAACTTTGGGGCTAGATTTTCACCTGCTTGGGCAGGGCCGAAGGAACGATCACACACCGCGCTAGCTTTGGCATTAAACCCATCTCAAAGCAGGGTGTGTCCCGGCTGCGGTGTGGCCGCTGGCCGCCCAGGAGCACAGGGAGCGGCAAAGATACCGCCCCCGAGGCCGGTCCTCGGGGACCCGGAGCTGGAAGCGCACGACGGAGCACCGCCCTGCTCCGGGTCCCTGGAGGAGGCCCCGGATGGGCCTCGGCGGCCACAGCAGCTCCGACGGGCTCTGCAGCGGTGCTCCGGGAGCTCCCGGGTGAGGACCCGGCTGTAGCCAGCTGCGCGCGGCCCGCTTACCCTCCGCCGCCCGCTCGTTGCAGCCGGCCCGCTTCCCTGCGGAGCAGCCCGAAGCACTGCGTCCAGCAGCAGTTCCCCATCGCATGCCGCCGCGCCGTCGCGCCTCCTCCAGCCCGGAGCGCAAGCCCAGGTGCGGCTGCAGCATCCGCACCGCTCCGGCCTCAGGGGGACCGGGACCCGGGGGCGGCCGGCCGGGGCGCGGCCGAGGGCGCTCGGAACAAAGGCCGCCGCTAGGTCTGAGGGCTCGGGGCAGCCGCCGAGGGAGGAAGGAGCGCCCAGCTGCGGGATCCCGGGGCACCTGCCGTCCGCATGGCCCGTCTCCGCCCCCGGCCGCCGCGGGAGGCTAGAACCCCACGCGCCCCGCCCCGGGCGCTTGGAGGCCCACACCGCCACGCCCCCGTCGCAGCCTCGCTCCAGCCGAAGCCAAGGCCAGGCGAAGCCACGCCCCCGACGTAGCCTCGCTCCGGGCGCAGCCACGCCCACGACGTGGACACGCCCTCCCTCAGAACAGCCACGCCCCTAGCCGCTCCTGGGCTCCCATTGGGCGCAGCTCCCAGGCGGTCGCGTTGCATCACTTCCGTGGGCTTCGGGTCCCTCATCCGACCGTGGTTCCGGGCTGGGGGTGTTGTCTTGATCTCTGACCGGCTTGGGTATGGCTTTACCTTGTAGATCCTGGCTTTCTGTTGCCAAGAGTCTCAGGGCAAACTCCGCCTCGTTTTGTACCGGAAACTTTGTGACCGCTTCTTGGAGTCCCAGCTCGGAATGAAGGCGTGGGAGCTGGAGGCTGGGGTCTCGTTGAAGTTACTGAGAATACACCAAGAGGGTTTTTCCCTCCCTTCGGATAATCTCATTCGCATGTCAACCTTCATACTGTCAGCATAGTAGGGTAACATTAATGGTGCGCTACTAGCCAAGCTTTGTTTATTTAAAACGAGAAGTTGTAGGCAGGAGAGTGCTTACCTAGCATTCAGAAGGCCCTGAATTCCATCCCCGGCACCATTTAAACATGATGCATGTCTGTAATCCCAGCAGGGAATCAAGAAGTTCAAGGTCATCCTCAGTACATAAGTACTGAGGCTAGCCTGGGCTACGTGAACCCCGGTCTCAAAAAAAAAAAAATTAAATGTTCAGATAATTTCTGATGAAGTTGGAATCCAGAGAAAATCAGGAAGAGGGCTGGGGTTTTCAGAACAAGCCTTGTCAATTCAGATATACTGCCCCCAAATGGTGAAAATAGGGAAAGACGCATGGCTTCAAATGCTACTTTAAAATGTGGTTTCTATCACCAGGCAGCCTTAAAGCGAAATATTAGGCATAGCTTCATGAATGCCTAACCCCGTGGATAAGATGCTTTACAGAGAAACCAGACTTTCATTTTTAACCTGTTTTAATGCTAGTGAAATAGTTACATTTTAGAAAATATTGATAAAATATTGTACTCTTTATTGATTGTCATCATAATATTAGCACTTAATTAGTTTATCTTGGTCGTTGTTTTTTACAGTCAAGTATGTAGAGTAATGGCTCAGTGGTCTGTTCTCAGTGAATGATGAGGTGGCAATGATTTCTTAAATAGTTACTATATTTTTCTTTCAGTACCTGAGATTAATAAAATAATAAATTAATAATTAATTAATAATTAATAAAATAATAAAGTAGCCTTTAACAATTGAACTATATTCATTTTGAAATAAGACGTTATAAATTAAAAAAATTGAACCATAAATGTTTAAGGAAACTGGTACATGCATCCTGTGGAGCATTGTTCATCAAAGAAAGGAACATGCTGCTCATAAACATACCTGAAAGGATGTCTCTTCAGGAAGTTATGCTATATAAACAAGTCAATTTCAAGGTTTACATGTGTTGCACAATTATAGGACATTCTAGAAAAGACAAAGTAATACAAATTAAAAATACTAAAGGGTTACTAGGGGCGGGTAGTGAGAAGTGGATTCATGGTGGAAAGCCTGTGGTCCTGCACTGCAGTTTTGCATGATATTGCTGTTGAGGGAAAGTAAGGTGCGTGGTGCCGGGCTCTGTATAATTTCTTTTCTTTCTTTTCTTTTTAAGATTTATTTCCCTAACACTTGTTTGGCCAGAAGTATAAAGTTAGTAAAGATCATAGTCAACTAATGAAAAGCCATACTGGCTTTGGTTTCTTTTAAGTTTCCCCTGCCCTGGACTATGCCCCCTTAATCCCAGGAGACCACCCTCACTCTCTAGGACTAACTGCTCTTTTTCACTTCTGCAAACTGCTTGATTGCTTGGTTAAAAAGATAAACTATATTGGCCCCATTCTGACTAGCTGTTTCAGGCAATCCTGAACATGCACAGGCATGTTGTACTCTCCACCTGCCGCCCCCACCCCAGGAGGCTATAGGTGAAGCAAGCTCAGACATATAGCAGCCTTATAAGGTAACACAGAGACTTCTGGCTCTACAGGTAATGGTCAGCACATTCCACAGCTCTGAAAGTAGCACCCATCAATGAGAAGCCCCCAGGACTGCATCCCTTGTAACCAATCAATTCAAAAGTGTGTTGGCACACGCGGGCCCCTCGAACCAAAGTGTAACTCTGTCATTCCCTCCTCCCCTTGTCTAAAACCTATAAAAAGCTCCCTCCCCCTCAATCGGGGTCTCAGCACGGATCCATTGCGTTGGTGAGTTCTGAGAGCCCGAGCTTAAACCCGAATAAAGACTCTGTTCTTGCATGCCCTCTGGATTCCATGGTTATTCTTGGGGGTCTGTTCTCTGGGCACAACACTAAATTTCAAGAGAGATGTGTGGAATTCATCACAGTCTGAAAGTGCATTTTTATTTATTTATTTTTTAAAAATTATTTATTTAATAACCACGATTAGAAGAAGCATTTCATTATAGCATTAATATATTCAATAACAATGTCCAGAGCAAAGATGCATTTCTTTGGATATTGGCTGTAAATTTTTAGGTTCACAGTTGAATTAATGCAGTTACACAGTATTGAACTCAGTATAAACCCTCTAAGACATAAAATTGAATCATGTTTTAACCTTAAAAAAAAAGATGTCCATTTCATTTTAAAATATACTGTTTCATACAGAAAAATTCATTTTTAATGCTACTAACACTTAGATGTTTGCATATGCGGCTCTAATCTCTATGTATCTGATTGTTAATAGTCACAGTAGGTTACCTGAAAGTGCATTTATATGACAATTGACTAAATAGAATATTCAATTTATCATTAAGAGATGCAAATGTAGATTCTTCAGTGAATGCCCTTTAATGTCAGCTTTCTAGGACAATCTGCCCCTACCTTCTAGGTAGGGGACCTCTCTTCTTCCTCACCCTCTTAAAATTCTCTTTTCTAGTATTTTATTACAAGATTTTATTAAATCTTATTAAAGTCAGATTTGTTTTTTCCTCATAGATGCACTGGAATGTGAAAGCAGCCACAGTGCAGTGGGGCCTGCACAAAGCCTAATTCTTGGCATCATTTAAAACTGAGTGAATCCCATCTGATCTCAGAACTTACTTTGAGTTCTCTCACAACTGTTCCCTTAAACAAAGGACTTGCTCTGTTTTTATTGAAGCAGTGTATTCAGCATGTTATGGGAAAGGAAAAGAGGAACTTTGCCTTATTAGAGAAGAATTTTCCCTTTCTGACCCCCTACTGACCTAGAATAGCACACAAAACCACAAACAGATGTTATCAGTATAATTCCACCTGTTGTTTATCATATAAACTGGGCATAATTCATTTCTTTAAAGGTATTTCCTGCTTTCAGCACTGATATTTTCACAATATACACATACATTATTCTGGATCCCAGTAAGGAAATGTCATGAGGAATTAAAGCTATATTGTTTACCTTGACAAAAGGAGCCAAAGGCCTAGTGAAAACATTATAAACAAGCTGAGATGGTGTAACATGATCTTGAAACATGTAACTTTGATTACAAGGTTAGATAAGATTTCCATATGTAATCAAGGCATTCTCAGAAGCTATTCCCATGCTTTGGGTCAGGAAATATTGTATGCCTCCCACCTGTCTTCTGATCATGTGGTTTCAAATTTTACTTTCTTTTCTTTGCCCAGAATTCCTCATTGGGGGATGCAAAGATGGTCCAGCAGTTAAGTATACTTCTCACTGCTCATGAAAAAAGCTTCTTTTTGCAACAGGTGGAGACTTAACAGAACTTCATAACTGGTCAAACACAGAGATAAGTGTTTGTGAAATGTCCAGCTCTAAGTGACAAATCTACAGTGCAACCTTTACACCTAAGGCTCGGAGAACACAGTGGAACAGGGGTGGAGCAAAGATGTACACATCGCTCAGCTCTTGCCAACAAAGCTTCCTCATGCAACAGAAGGTGATTAACAAGGAAGACCACAATTGGCCAAAATGCAGAGAAGAAGAGACTGCAGAGTGTGTGCCTCTGTATAGGACTCCTCCATTAAACCTCTGCCACACAGGGCTTAGGGACCATTGTGGAATATAGGGCAAAAGACTATAGAAGCCAGGGATGGCGAATGATCACAAAGAAACAGAATATTCCAGGTGGCTGGGAACTTGTACAGCAGTGGTGACAGCATGCACAAGATCCATGCAAATTCAAACCAGACAAAAACCCAGCACAGAAGTGGGGAAATGGGTAAGAAGCCCCAATCTTAGCTGAGGAACTATTGGCAACTGATCACTGCTGGGTGAGGGTGGGTGGATATTCTTTAAGAAACTGACACTAGATAGGTTAACCAGGTTCCAGTGGGTGGACTCACATCAAGGGACGTTTGGGGACACACATTTGACTTCACAGGGCCTTAACATATATGACAGAATGCATGAGGCCTGGCAGAGGGACCATGGAAGAGGTAGATAGTGGGAGGAATCTAAAAATGAAATGAACAAAAGTTCAATTAAAGAAAAGAGACTGTGCCCTAAATAAAAATTTCCCTATTTCACAGGCCTTTGTCTACCCTACAATCTCACTCTTTCAGGATGACTGAAAGTTAAAATATTCACTAAGTTAAGGGCACACATTGTTCACTAACAAGTGGAAGCACTTTATTCTGAAAACACAAACAGAATAGTCTCAACACAAAAATCTGGTATCATGATTCCCAAAGTCTTGTTTAGTCAGCCTAAAATAATACATTGTGAAAGACCAATAATCCAGGCCAGGTTCAGCTGATCTGGCAGTGCCTAATTCTTTTATCCCTTGTTACCTCCATTATGGAGTAAAATTTAAGAATCTTGAGTCTAACTAGGGGTTAGGGTGAAGTGGTAAAGTACCTGCCTAGCATGTACAAGGGCAAGTTTAATTCTTAACACCACATACAGACACTAAATAAACTCTAAAGAAAAAGTAT